ATTCTTCTTTGTTTTTAAATTTTGCATTCCAGTCACCAGTGATAATCAACACATCTTGATTGCATGTTTGGTCAATTTCAGACTGCAAAAGTTGTTAAAAATCTTCAATTTCTTCATCTTTGGCTTTGGTGGTTGTTGCATAAATGTGAATAATAGTAATATTAGCTGGTCTTCCTTGTAGGTGTATGGATATTATCCTATGACTGAAAGTATTGTACTTTGAGAGAGATCTCAATACGTCCTTTGTGATGATGAATGCCACCCTATTCTTCTTCAATTTGTCATTCCTGGCATAGTAGACCATATGGTTGTCTGATTCAAAATGGCCAAAACCAGTCCATTTCAGCTCCTAGTGCCTAGGATATGGGTCTTTATGCATTCCATTTCATTTTTGACAACTTCCATTTCTTTCTAGATTCATACTTCATACATTCCATGTTCCAATTATTAATGGATTTTTGTGGCTGTTTCTTCTCATCTTGAGAAGTGCCACATCAGCAAATGGGGGTCCTGAAAGCTTTACTCTGTCCACATCATTAAGGTCAACTGTACTCTGAGGACACAGCTCTTCTCCAGTCATATCTTGAGTGTTTTCTGACATGAGGGGCTTATCTTCCAGCACTATATTGCACAGTGTTTCAGGGCTATTCATAAAGTTTTACAGTAGTATATCAAACAGTGTTTCACTCCTATTCATAAGGTTTTCACTGGCCAATTCTTTGAGAAATGGATGGCCTCTTCCTCTTCCAACTCTATCTTAGTCTGGAAGCTCCACTTAAACCTGTCTACATGGGTGACCCTGCTGACATTTGAAACACCAGTAGCATAACTTCCAGCCATACAGCAACGCTCAAGTCACCACAGTACGAGAAGCTGACAGACAAGTTTGTCTTCTTTGGTTGTTCCAAACTGCTCTGCTCATATCCTGCTCTTCTCCACCCTGCTGGCTTATCCATCCACCCCCCATGGTGCAAACATCTACCTTCCACTAGTCCTAGGGCTGGCTTACTGTTAATCTATCAATCTATCTGTCTATCTATCTATCTATCTACCTACCTACCTACCTACCTATCATCTTTTGAATTCCTTATCAGGTAATTGGATAAATGGCTGTGTGTTCCCAAGTAATTCTATTTATTACCTGCTCTTTCTAGGGGTGATTTCCTAGTTCTTTAGTTTGGTCAGTTGCTTCGGCTATCTTGTCCTATTCTTTGTTTGAATTGAAGTTGTCTGTTGTCACTGACATATTTTAGAGTTGTCTTTAATCTGTTGGTTATGTGTTGATTTGTTTCACCCTGTTTTTTTATTTTGTTTTGTTTCAGTATATCTGGATGTGTGGATAGGTTTGCTTCTCTAGTCATTAGCTGGGCAGCACTGGGGCACTCTCCAGCTGTCTTCAGATTGATGGAATCACTGGTGGGAATGTGGGTGTGAATCTCTGTTTGTTGTGAAGAGAAGTTTCAGTGGGGGATGAGCTGTTGTTGTCTACCATCTGTCTGGTGTAGGAGCTGGTGGTAGTGCTCATCTGTTGGGTGAGGTGGTAGGTACAGCAGATATACCTGACTAGTGCAGAATTAATGTCCCCTCCTGCTGGATGAAGCAGGAAAAAAAGACAATACCAAGGAGAAGAAGAAGAGGAGTAAAAGATAATAAAATAAAAGGTAAAAAATAGAGAGTAAACAGAAAAAGAGGGGTGGACAAGATGAAGAATTGGTAAAAATGAAAGAAGAGGAAGAAGGAGAAATGAAAAGATAAAAAGAAAGAAAAGTTAGAAAAAGGAAAGGAGAAAGATAAGAGGAAGATAAGGAAACTGTGGAGGAAGGACTTTTGTAGTTATGGTTATCCAGCAGCCCTGGGAGCAGGTGGCTGAGGTGGAAACTGCTGATCCACTAGGGCATGTGTCCACAGAGGTGAAAGGAGTCTTGTGTGAGTAGACACCACTAAGAGAGAAAGTTGCAGCTGTGTGCCTTTTGTGCTCAGTGTGAGAAAGATCAGCCAGTGATCCAAGCAGGAAGGAAGAGACACAGTTACTGGGTCTGTGTGTTTGGAGTGGGTTGCTGATGGTGGCTAAACTGTAGGAGAAGTGGTTGGGTAATCCAGGCAGGATTTCCCTCACCAGCATCTCAACAGTAGCAGGGAGAGATTAGGCCCCTATTCACAGGAAAGTTGTACCTTTTAGAGCAGAGTGTGGCTCACTATTCACTGGCATGAGTCTGGCACCCTTCTGAGCACACACAGCCATTTATATCCAGTTCTTGCCCAGACTCTAGTGAAAGGCCACCTTGAGATTATCTTCTCCAAATCTTTCAACACAGACCTTTCTCCTTGCAGAGTTTGGAGATGCTGGGTGCAAGTGGGCATGTCTTACAGAGGGTGCTGCAGAAGTATGCATCTTGTGTTCAGTGTGAAAAAGATCTGTCGGTGATTCAGGCACTGGGTGGGTGAGTTTCAGCCTCTGACTCTGTCTGCTAGAGGGAGTGGAAAGAGTATTTACTCCTATGTGCAGGGAACTTGTGTATTTGTTAGGTCCGGGAGTGTATTTCTCCAATCATGATTCATTGGCTGGTTCTGGAGTCCTGTGAGGACACACAGTCATTTATCAAGCTCTTTCCCAGATTCAATCAAATAAGAGATTGTTCTGAGCCTAGCTTCTTCACTGGCCCTGACACAGCCTTTTCCTCTCACATAGGTCCTCAAACCAAAAGACTGTGGCATAGTGGTTAAAGTATTTGGTGACTAGAACCCATCAACTGCTCCATGGGAGAAAGACAAAGCAATCTGCTGCTCTGCAAAGTCCCACAACCCTAAAAACCCCACAAGGCAGTTCCACTCTGACCCAAAAATTGTCACTATGAGTTGGAATATACTCGATAGCAGTGGACTTGGTTTGATTTATTAGCAGTGGGTTATTTCATCCCCTTTCTAGTCCTTCCATGGCCACCTGCACCACTTGAAGTCTGACCCACTTCCCTGCATGTTCCTCTCCCAACTCCCACATGAATTCAACACACCTTGGATTCCTCCCAATTTGTCTACACTATGTCTTTATCATTGTATGGATTCCATGAAGTTTGTCTTTTTCATCTTTCCTCCTGGTCTGTGTCTCATGCTTCTGATGCCTCTGTGTTTAAAATGCCTATGTGTCAGCCTGTCCTAGCTTCTTTTCTTGCCCAAGTCGCCTTGCTCTGTCTCCCTTCCAGTCAGCATTCAGTCTAATTCCTTACCTTCCTCATTGGATGCTCAGAATTCTAGGATCATTATTTGCATCTGTTCTGTTGGAGATGGATTGGGTGGAGAGTATTAGCAGGATGTCATCTTGTCTCTGTCTCTCTCTCTCTTATATATATACACACACACACACACACTTTTTTTTTTTTTTTTTAACAGACAAGCAAGAAGTGAGAGGATGGAAAGATATGCTTACTTTTCATTTTTGGCTTAGATGTCACTAGCTTACTTATGTGCTCCAAGGGCAATCTTGCATGGGCAACATAAGTCGATTTCTAAATCATTGAATTAGAAGCAAACTATTTTCATCCTTAAAGGTTGTTGCCCTATTTATGAATGAACTCCATACTAGTCTCAGTTTTACCCATATTCCATTAGGTTCTCACATAGAGTTTATTTTATTGTTGAAAATAAAGTATCAAAGATCTCAGTGTTATTTTTAGGTGCTGTTGAGTCTGTTCTGACTCACAGTGACTTGATATACAACAGAACAACATACTGCTCAGTCCTGTGCCATCCTCACAAACATTATATTTGAACCCATTGTTACAACCACTGTGTCAATCCATCTCATTGAGGCTCTTCCTCTTTCACCGACCTCTGCTTTACCAAGGATGGTGTTCCTCTCCAGGGATTGCTCCCTCTTGATGATATGTCTGAAGTACGTGAGACAAAGTCTCACCATCCTCACTTCTAAGGAACATTCTGGATGTACTTCTTCCAAGATAGATATGCTCATTCTGGTGGTCCATGGTATATTCAATATTCACCAACACCATAATTCAAATGTATCAATTCTTCTTTGATCTTCCTTATTTAGCATCTCAGTATTGACTGCTAAAAGTTTTCATTAAGTACCTTACTTTATTTCACATGGTGGAAGAAACTATAGCCTTTTCTGCTCATGTAAAGGTTAAGAACATTTCTGATTATTCCTAGGGCAAAGATTTTTAAACATTAGTGGTATTAGAGAATCTGTTGAAAACCAGAGTCATTTCACAAAATATATACAATATTTTCACCTAACTTCTAGCTGTATCTTTGAAATCCATCTATGAACTATTACCCTGGAAGAGGATAGGGATCTCCAAGAACCAGCCTAAGAAAAGAGATCCTCAGAAAATTTGTGACTTTCATTCATTTGCTCAAAAATTCTTATGAGGCCCCTAGCTGTGGTTGTGCTATGCTGAAGATACAAAAGTGAACAAGATAGACAGGGTCCTTGCTTACAAAGAACTCCTGTTATGGCTGAGGAAACTGCCATATAAGCACAGAATGGAGGAGTCAGGAGAAGGTTCCTGGGGAACATGAGATGCAGGAGAGGAAAGTAGTAAAGTGGGGAAGAAGGGAGGCTGAAGGAGTGTGCACAGATGCCAAACCAATGAAAGCCATAGTCGGTTAGCAAAGTCTTGTCCCTGAAACACTGTCAATCAAGAGTAGAAGCCTGCAGATAAGAAACTAAAATCAGAAATGTTGTTGCTGTGTGCCTTTCAGTCAATTTCAACTCATAGTGACCCTTTAAGACAGATTAGAACTGCCATATAGGGTTTCCAAGTCTGTAATCTTTCCTAAAAACAGTTTTCATTCATTTTCTCAAAAATTATTTAGAATCACTTATAAAAAGTATTATGTGTGTTTAAATTTAAAATCATGGCATATCACAGTTGAAAAGGCCATAGAGATTATGTGGTCTACTGCCTTTATTTTGCATATAACGTGAACAGATTTAATATAACTATTTCATCTTTGAAATTGATCTACTGTTCTAATAGGTATCCACAGTTCCTGGAGTCAGTACTTATGGAAATACATCTTCAATGCAAATAGGAAATATTTCAGGATATATTGATACCCCAGATCCACCAACAATCATCAGCTATCTACCTGGACTTCTTTACAAATTTAGTTGTAGTTATCCATTGGAATACCTGGTTAATAATACCCAGCTTTCTTCGTAAGTTTGCATTTTATTCTTGCTTTCTCATGTTGTCTCATATTGCCATTATATTTGGATCATTTCTTACCCCTGAAGGATTTAAAGGAGCTCTGGTGGCATAGTGCCTCAGGCATTTGACAGCTAACCAGAAGGCTAGCGGTTCAAACACACACACCAGCAGCTCCTTGGAAGGAAGATTGGGCAATCTACTTCCATAGTGATACTACCACAGAAACCCAAGGAGGGGTCACTATGAGTTGGAGAAGAATTTGTTGAGAATGACTGTATTCACATAATGTAATAAGAAGTATATTAAGTCTAATATAATATGTATAAAAGTGATGTACAATATGTAACATATAAAGATTTATATCTGTATATAGATATATGTCTATCTATCTATAAAATTGATGTGACCCATATCAACAGCTTAGGAGAGTGCCTAAGGCACTTGACTGCTAACCAGAAGGCTGGTGGTTCAAATGCACCAGCCAATCCTCAGAAGGAAGGTTGGGCAATCTACTTCCTTAGTGATACTGCCTCGGAAACCCAAGAAGGGGTCACTATGAGTCAGATCTGACTCGATGTCAGGGCATTTGGTTTTGTTTTTTTGTCTCAGTGCCAGCATCCAAAAAGGCCCTCTCATATTTCTAGAGCCTACATCATTTGCTCGCTGCATTGGTTGGTCCTGTCTGGCTACCTTCTCTGTCATATATTCATATGTTCTTATTGTTGGACTTCATTACTCTAGAAACCAGGTCTCCATGCCTCCTGCTGAGGCATCATCCTTGGCTGCCTAGACCCTGTATGGGTGCTTATGATTTCCAGGAAAGGAGACATGACCCAAAGTCAAGACATGGATCCCATACTGCCTTTAGTTTACAATCATGTATTTATTCATTATCCTCTAAGACAAAGTTACACCCCATTACAACATAATCAACTAGTGTTGGCAAGTATTTTTGACAAAATATGGGATGATTAGGTGAAAATTTTTTTTCCAGTTTTCAAATTTGATGTCATGAAGGCCCAAACCAAAAAAACAAAAAAACAAACAAACAAAAAAAAACCAGAACAAAAAAAAAAACTCACTACCATCAAGTCAATCCAACTCATAGGTACCTCTCCTTGGGTTTCTGAGGTGGTATCTCTATGGAAGTAGATTGCCCAATCTTCCTTCTGAGGAGTGGCTGGTGGGTTTGAACTGCCAGCCTTCTGGGTAGCAATCATTTAATGATAGTCATGAGGGAACCCAAGGAAATGTGGAGGCTACATTTTGCTTCAGTTCAAAAATATTCATAGTTGGTTTTAAGGACACAGTGATGATAAACACCTTGGCCAAAAGCAAGACTTTGATGTGCAAAAAGGTACAGGTGTAAAGGATAAATGTGTAGTGTATCACAATCTCTCACTACTCACACCTTATCCCCTACTAAACACATTCCTGAACTGAAATGTCTATGGCAATTCTTTTATATATTCAACAAATATTTATTATACACCTGCTATAAACTATACAATATTTTAGAACTGCACAAAGTAGAAAAAAAACCCCTTGCTCTTAACAGAGTTGTTCTAATGGGATTGATGAAAGTATATTTCAGGAAACAGATTCAAATTCTTATGAAACAAAGATTTTCTGCTAAAAGTCTCAGGTATGTAATGCCAAATGAAAAACAAAAAAAAATGGATTGGCAAGTCAAAAGTTCATGAAGAACAGTGTCTCGTTACTTGGTCCCTCTTTTTTTGTTATTTAACCTATTCAGTGATTTGAACTGTACACCCCAGTAGGTAAAAGTATGTCAGGCTTATTCGAGTTTTAGTGCCTTGAATCTAACAGCCAGCTATAACCAAAGCTTTTAATTTAAAATCTTATTAGTGGTTTCTTTTCTTTTAAATTTGTTTTAGGTCCTCAGCTGCTATTTCTGTGAGAGAGAACAATGGTACATTTGTCAGCACTTTGAACCTCCTCCTTTATAATGTAAGTTGATGGGTGAAGGATGTTATTTTCTCTTTCACTGTTCTGAGGAATGAATGCCTTTTAAATAAAAAGCTACTGAAAGCCATACTAACCTTGTTATACTTGATAACATTTATCTATCTTTACTGCCATTTTCATATATCTTAGTGATAAAGGTGTACCAAAAACTACAATATTTTTAAAAAGTTGATAAGTGATTTAACTTTTATATCATAAATATGTCTGTATAGTTACTCAATACCTCTGTCTATGTTCATATGTGTATTCTCTCTCTCTCTGTGTGTGTGTGTGTGTGTGTGTGTGTGTTTGTCAAGATTTTGGGAATAACATTTTTGTGATAACAAGATAGAGAAAATTCAAATGACACTCCTCTAGAACCATGCTTCGTGATGAATGTGTTAATATTTTCAATATAGGTTTCGGCTGATGACAATTTTCTCATATGTGTAATAATTTGAATTGACTACATAGCATTGTCTAAACTTTTGTCATGTAAATATGGACAGTGACAGCAAAATGTGAAAAATACATGAATTTCTATTTATAATGGTAACATTAATCCCCTAAATGATATTTTCATGTTGATTAAAAATTTTTATTCATACATTTTAAATGCCTGATTTAAATATCAATTTTTCAATCAACCAACATTTTTGTAAATTATGAATCTGATTTTTGCATTATTATTCATGTCATCATGGCACTGAGTTATAATTCATGCAACTGATTTAAAAGTCAGTGCTTTATACTTTGCATATAATGAGCTATAAATATTGTAGCAGGACATTTTCCAAAGGCATTTAAAAAAAATCATGTTTATAAGTTTGTAGTCTGACACCACAGAGTTCTAAACAACAAATTAAAATGTGTTGGAATGAAGATTGTTTTTCTGTCATTTGCAAACTTTCTTCTATGAGGAGAAGCTGCCAACTTACTTGGTTCTACAATACTCAGCAAATATTTGCCAATATAAGTTCTTGATAAGATAGCTATTTATTATTTTTGTGGGTAGCATTTATATAAATAACTTTAAAATGGAAAGTGTCTACCTTTTGATTTATATATGTACATTTTTTGGGAGTAGAATTGAGGTGACTCGTTTGGAATTTATATTATTTGTTATAATTTGGTTAATTTAACCAAGATGAAAATTTCAGATTTTAAAAACATGAAAAATATATCCACATGGCACTTATGGTACCATTATTTCCTCTGAAATTAAACAGTACTTTTATTGGAAAAGGAGAAAATAAAAATTTAGAAGTATGAATTTGAGGATAGCTTTGTTGTTAAGATGTTTCTTTTATCATTTTAAATCAGACTACAGCCTATTGCTAACATACATAATCTTTCAAAGAGTTTTTATAATTTTCTGATAACCTTAAGATTTTAATTATGTGGTAAATAGTAACCAATTTTCAATGTCATACTATAAATGAAAAATCAAATGAAAGTATTAAGAAGTAAAGATGCCACTTTGAAGACAAATGTATGCCTGACCCAAGTCATGGGTTTGCCAGTTGCTTCATATGCATGTGAAAGCTGCACAATGAGTAGACCTAAGAAGACTTGATACCTTTAAATTGTGGTGTAGGGGAAGAATACTAAAAATACCAAGGACTGCTAGAAGAATGAACAACTCTGTCCTGAAGAAGTACAGCTGGAATGCTCCTTGAAAGTGAGAGGACCAGGCCAAAAATCTCACCTACTTTGGTCATGTTGTCAGGAATGACCATTCCCTGGAGAAGAATATCATGCTTGGTAAAGTAGAGGGTCAGAGAAAAAGAGGAAGACTCTCAACAAGATGGATTGACACAATGGCTGCAACAATGAGCTTAAGCATAGCAGGGTTTTTGAGGATGAGGCAGGACCAGGCAGTGTTTCTTTCTAATGTACATGGGGTCACTATGAGTTGGAACTGACCCAACGGCACCTAACAACAACATAAATGAAATAGATTTTACCAAATTGTGTATGATTTTCAATAAAAATATAAATGGTTGAATTAAAACTTAAATTAAAATTAAGACCTAATTTTAAATAAAATTCAATTCAACCATTTCCTCATAATAGTTTTTGAACATGGCACCATCATAATATTTTACCTGCTTGTGAGATATTAAAAAATTAGTAATTTCTTTAGAAAAAATTCTATATTTTAATTGTTTGAAAATAATCTTTGTTGTTTGTTTGAAACACTATCAGTTAACTTGATGTGTTTTATTCTAGTACTTAAAATTAAATAGCATATAATAACTATTAGGGGGCAATTCTTCCTATATCATTTGCAGAAGTTTTTGATTTTTAACTTTTAGGCATGATGGAAAGTAATATTACATATCTCTATGTGTCTGTTTTAAGGTTGGGGCCTGAGGTAGGAGAGTGCAGAATAGTTAGGAACAAATAAGGGAGACAGACTTGTTTGTCAGTTTGTCATCCTGTGGTGGGTTATGTATTGCTGTGAGGCTATAGACTATGCCACCAATGTTGCAAAATATCAGCAGGGTTACCCATGGTGGGCAGGTTTCAGCAGAGCTTCCAGGCTAAGACAGACTCAGAAGAAGGAAGAGGCCATCTACTTCTCAAACAATTGGCCGGTGAAAACCTTATGAATATCAGTGAAACACTATGTGATATATTACTGGAAAACTTTAAGAATAGTCTTGACACATAGTTTGATATAGTGCCAGGAGAGGAGCCCATCAGGATGGAAGGCACTCAAAAATTGTCTGGGAAAGTGCTGACTCCTCAGAGTAGAGACGACTTTGGAGATATGGACAGAGTAAAGCTTTTGAGATCTTCATTGGCTAATGTGGCACGACTCAACATGAGTAGGAACAGATGCAAACATCCATTAATAATTGGAACATGGAATGTACAAAGTATGAATCTAGGAAAATTGGAAGTTGTCAAAATTGAAATGGAATGCATAAAGATTGATATCCTAGGTATTAGTGAGCTGCAATGACCATTTTGAATCAGACAAACATATGATTTAATATTCTGGCAATGTCAAATTGAAGAGGAATGGTGTGACATTCCTAAAGTATGTCTGTCCTAGAGTACAACACTGTCAATGATAGGGTAATATCCATATACCTACAAGGAAGACAGTTAACACTACTATTATTCAAATCTATGCATTAACCACCAAAGCCAAAGATGAGGAAATTGAAGATTTCTACCAATTTCTGCAGTCTGAAATTAACCAAACATATAATCAAGATGTGTTGATTATCACTGGTGACTGAGATGCAAATGTTGGAAACAAGAGTTACTGGTAGTTGGAAAATATGGCCTTGGCAATAGAAATAACACTGGAGATTACATGATAGAATTTAGCATGACTAACAACTTACTTCAAATACCTTTTTTTGACAACATAAGCAACAGCTATACATGTAGACTTCACCAACTGGAACACACAGGAATCAGACTGACTACCTTTGTGGTAAGAAACAATGAAGAAGTTAAAAATCTTCAGCCAAAACAAGGCCAGGGGCTGATTGTGGAACAGACCATCAACTGCTCATATGCTCATATGTTCAAGTTGAAGTTGAAGACAATTAAAACAAGTCCATGAGAGCCAAAATATGACCTTGATAATATCCCTCCTGAATTTAGAGACCATTTAAAGAATAAATGTGATGCATTGAACACCAATGACCAAAAACCAGAGGAATTGTTGGATGAGATCAAGTATATCATCCACGAAGAAAGCAAGAGGTCAATAAAAAGATGAGAAAGAAAGAAAAGACCAAAATGGATGACAGAGAGTTTCTGAAACTTGCCCTTGAGCAGAGAGTAGCTAAAGCAAATGGAAGAAATGACAAGATAAAATAACTGAACAGAAGATTTCCAAGAGCAGCTCGTGTAGAACAAGCCAATTTCTATAATGAAATGTGCAAAGACCTGGAGTTAGAAAACCAAAAGTGAAGAACAGGTTTTGCATTTCTCAAGCTGAAAGAACTGAGGAGAAAATTTAAACCTTGAGTTGAAATATTGAAAGATTCGGTGGGCAAAGTATTGAATGATGCAGGAAACATCAAAAGAAGATGGAAGGAATACACAGAGTTACTGTACCAAAAAGAATTGACAGGTGATCATCCATTTCAGGAGGTGGCATATGATCAAGAACCAATGCTACTGAGGGAAGAAATCAAGCTGCACTGAAGGAATTGATGAAGAACAAGACTCCAGAAATGATGGAACACCCATTGAGATGTTTCAACAAAGGATGCTCTGCTGGAGGCACTCACCTGGCCATACCAAGAGATTTGGAAGACAGCTAACTGGCCAACTGACAGGAAGAGATCTATATTTGTACCCATTTCAAAGAAAGGTGATCCCACAGAATGTGGGAATTGTTGAACAATATCATTAATATCATGTGCAAGTAAAATCTTACTGAAGATAATTCAAAAATGGTTGTAATAGTATATTGACAGAGAGCTTAGAGAAATGCAAGCTGGATTCAGAATAAGACATGGAATGAGGGGTATCATTGCTGATGTCAGATGGATCTTGGCTGAAAGCAAAGAATACCAAAAAGTTATTTACTTGTGTTTTATTGACTATGCAAAAGCATTTGATTGTGTGGATCATAACAAATTATGGATAACATTGAGAAGAATGGGAATTCCAGAACACTTGATTTGTACTCATGAGGAACCTCTACATAGACCAGGAGGCTGTTGTTTGAACAGAACAAGGGGACATTGCATGGTTTAAAATCAAGAAAGGAGTGTGTCAATGTTGTATACTTTCACTATACTTATTCAATTTGTATGCTGAACAAATAATCTGAGAAGCTGGATTATATGAAGAAGAACCAGGCATCAGGATTGAAGGAAGACTCATTATCAGCCTGCAATACACAGACAGCACAACTTTGCTTGCTGAAAGTGAGGATGACTTGAGACATTTACTGATGAAGATTAAAGACTACAGTCTGCAGTATGGATTATGCCTCAACATGTTGTTGTTGTTGTTGTTGTTAAGTGCCGTCGAGTCGTTTCCGACTCATAGCGACCCCATGCACAGCAGAACGAAAACATAAAGAAAACAAAATTCCTCACAACTTGTCTAATAACAGCTTCACGATGGATGGAGGAAAGACTGAAGTTGTCAAAGACTTCACATTACTTGGTTCTACAATCAACACCAGTAGAAGCAGCAGTCAAGACATCAGACGATGTATTGCATTGGGCATATCTGCTGCAAAAGACCTCTTTCAAGTGATGAAGAGCAAATATGTCTCCTTGAAGACTAAGGTGCACCTACCTCAAGCCATGGCATTTTCAATTACCTCTTATATATGTGAGAGCTGGACAATGAATGAGCAAGATCAAAGAAGAGTTGATGCTTTGGAGTTGTGGTGTTGGAGAAGAATGCTGGGTTTCCGAGGTGGTATCACTATGGAAGTAGATTGCCCAGCCTTCCTTCTGAGGAGTGGCTGGTAGGTTTGAACCATCAGCCTTCTGGTTAGCATCAAATGCCTTAGGAACTGTGCCATCAGATCTCCTGCTTAAAAGTACCATGGCAAGCTAAAAGGACTAACAAATGTGTCCTGGGAGAAATGCAGCTGGACTCCTCCTAGGAAGCGAGAATGGCCAGACTTCGTCTCACCTACTTTGGTCTTATTGTCAGAAGGAACCATGCCCTGGAGAAGGATATCATGCTTGGTAAAGTGGAGGGTCAATGTAAAAGGGGAAGGCCCGCAATGAGATGGAATGACACAGTGGTTACAATGATGGGCTCTGGTATAGCAAGGATCATGAGGCTGGCCCAAGTCCAGGCAATGTTTCATTCTACTGTGCATAGGGTTCCTATAAGTTGGAGATGACTCAACAGCATCTAACAACAATAACAACAACAACAACTATGTATTCTATTCTCTGGTTTGTTATTTAGAGAGGAAAAGATATACACAATTTGGATCCAGTACCTTTGTTCATTTCTAAGTATACTGGGGATCAATAAGTGTACTCAGAAAAATTATAATGATGGCAAGCAATGGCATTTTTGACTATGTGTTTTTCATATATGCAGGTTATTTCAAGTTGAAGTGTTCCATTACTTTGGTGTAATATAAATGTATCAGATTTCTTCTGCATGTAAATGGAAAATAAAGATGTCTTTGTGTACTTGAGTTTTATCAAAATATTAATATCTTCTAAGTGGGTACAGAAACAATAAATCTGAAATAAAGTTATGAAAATTATTAATGTTTTTGAATATTGGAGAAAAAATCTAAAATAAATAGAATTAATTTTAAGGACATACAGTTTTAAGAAAAATAAGAAAACAGTACAAGAAAATATCAGAGCATTACCTCTCAAATGTAGTTTCAGGAAAAAAAAAGGTAATTTATGACTAAACCACAGCTAGAGTATATATCATTTATGAATGATTCAGCAGTATAGTACTTATGAAAACATAAGCATTCTTCTGGACAATATTAACGTAAATAGAAAGCTGTATAGTTAATGAACTGTGGATAATTTAGATAAATTGGAAAAGGGAGCCAAAAAGATAATTAAATGAAAATACTACCTACCATTATAACAACAATAAAAAAAATGTATTAAAAAAATACCTATCAGAAATAGTCAGAGAAACTATAATCATTTATAATACAGAAAAAAAAAAATAATGCAAACCCATCAACAACTTTTCAGAAGGAAGATTGGGCAACCTTCCTCCGTAGTGACACCACCTCAGAAACTCAAGCAGGGGTCTTTATGAGTCAGATCCAACTAGCTGGCATTGAGTTTGGTTTTTTGACTCCTTAATGGTTACCAAATATAGCACATAATCTGTTATCTATCTAGTTTTATTTGGGAATGAAATGGTTCACTTAAATGTAATTTATTTGTAAATGAGTCTTTCAAAGTATTAGTTTAGTAATTAAAAAATCCCAACTGTATTTTGCTCATCCCAGCCTTCCTAAGCAGAATATGCGCCATGTTTTCACTTTCCTTGATGATTGTGGGATTTCATAATGAACGTCAAAAACTTTCCTTTGTTGCAGAACAGTAATATTTTTAGAGTTACTAAGTTCCGGAGAGACAACTTTGTCCTATGCTAAATGATTCAAGACTCTTAAATATAGTGGGGTTTTTTTGGGGGGGCCATTGTGCACTTTTTTCTTTATTATCAAATTGTCGTGGTCACTTCTCAATTTCTTCTAATCTACTGTATATTGAGGAATGAAATAAATAAGCTTTCTAGAATTGGTCTAAAATAAGGATAAAGGTCTAAAAATGAGGCCTGAAACTTCCTTCCATAGTACTCATTAACATATATTTTGGAAACTCAGCATATTGTTCTCTTTTATGGTTTTCTATTAAATTATGGTAATTTCATATTGTCATTTAAGTGATAGTGGGTAAATAAGAGATTATCAAAAGTATAAAAACCTACAACTCCAACAGTAATGAGCTTAAACTGAAGAATATATATTTTAAATATATACAGAATATTAACCATGAATGCAAATTAAGTAAATGGAATATTGATGTAAATATATTATTATTAATTGCTACATATGATTTAAAAAATGGAATATCAATTTAAATAACCTAAATGATTATTATTGAAAATGACGGGACTATTACCCACTGACTATTAACTGTTATATATCATTTAAATAAAATGAACATTAACCACAATATAAGGTAAAAGTACAGAAAGGAAAGCTTTATGATTTAAGAGTAGTTCTGCCAAGAACCTAGAAGATTAACTATATTCTTTTTGCTATTTGTTCTATAGACTTATGTGGTATTTTAAAATGTTGATTTACCTCTTCTCCCCCCCCCCAAAAAAAAAAACTGTTGGTTTAAGTGGTAAATGTGCTGTTGTTAGGATATATGATTGTCTATTTTTCTCATCATTAGGATTCAACCTATCGAGAGCAGTTAATTATCCCAAGCATAGGATTACCCTTGAAAACAAAAGTATTTGCAGCTGTACAAGCCACCAATCTGGATGGCAGGTATACTTATACATTTATCTTTTGTTGGTTAAAATAATTTGGTTGCTCTAAAGCCTCATGAATCATAAAGTTTGATTGTTTGTTTTTAAATTCATTTTAAAAAATGCCGCTGTTGCCACACAATTTAAGCATGCTAAGAAACAGAAGAAAAAAATTACAAGGATTAAGGGGTGATACTCATTTTATATCATTAGTTAGAATATAAGAATTCTCTCCATAAAAAAGGAAATATAGTGACTGGATAGGGACAGGAAGAGAATTCGGTGATGCTGGAATGTTCCATTTCTTCATCTAAGAGGTGATTAACCAGATGTTGATATGCTCACTTTGTGAGCACTTATGATCTGTGTACGTTTCTATATGCATATTACTCTTCAATACACATTTAGTAAAAAGTAAAAGAACTCTCACAATAAGGGTCTGAGTCAAAATTATATAAAACAATTCCATGGAATATCTCTATGAAAAACAAAGTCCACTGACTACTTTAAAAATTCAGTTTGGTCAGAACTGACAGGAAATTCAAATGTCTAGTCCTGCTGTAAAACAGATACATTTGTAAATGATTTATTTTTCATTTGTTTGTGCATCACTGTTTAAATTTTGCATCCTCAAGAGATTGGTATATTCTAGAAATTTGGTTCTATTTTTACCTTTTCCTTTTTCCTGGTATTTTTGTCTTTAGAAATAGGTGGTTCTTTATTTGTATTATTTTTTTAACTAAATATAGGATTTTCTTTTTCATTTTATGAACAATCATGTCTATTGATTATATAATAATTTTACAACATTCAGTTAGCATCAACCAAAAAACTAACTCCACTGCCACTGAGTCAATCTTGACTCTTAGCAGAGTAAAACTGCCCCATATGGTTTCTAAGGCTGCTACTTTACAGAAGTAAGCTGCTTCATCTTTCTCCCATCGAGTGGCTGGTAGATTTGAGCCTCTGACTTTTTGGTTAATAGCCCAATGCTTTAACCATTGTGCTACTAGAGCTCCTGGAGTTAGCATGAAGTCATATATAAATCCAGGCATACTTTGGCCTTATGGATGAAGGCCATATGTTTAGATTAGGGCTTTATTCTGCTTAATCCTGTGTCTACATTATGGTGCCTCATTCCCTCCACTGATTGTAGTATAATTTACAGTGCAATTTGTGTCCCAAACTCCTTTACTGTATTTAGAACTATAATATCCTCTGTCTTCTGTTAGCAACAGTAACTTCTAGAAACAAAGGGGCATTGTTGAACATGAATATGTAGCTCACTTTTGAGTTTTGTTTCTTTCAATCTTTTACCAGTGATTTTGTATAAAAATATGTTAATGTTGTCAGCATAAATATCTTTGAGTCTGTAGTCTTAACTCCACTTGATGTGGGATGGTAATTCTTTGTTGCAGACTTTTAAACACCTTGAGGTTAGGAAAAATCCTAATAAACAAGAAACCTCCACAAACAGCAACTGATATAAAACTATACTTCATATTGTAAGAGGTTTGTCAATATTTATTTGCTTGAATTATTAACTAATACTCAAAAGTAGATTCTGGTCTAGATGATACTTACCTCTATCTGCAGATGGAATGTCTTAATGGATTATTGCTATACCACCCCATCAGGGAACCCAAATGATGATATACGATATGATCTCTTCCTTAGGTAAGTGTCTAAGTCTCATATTGATACCTAAGACCTAGTTGTAATGAATTGAAATGCAAATCAGACAAACAAATGATAGGACTCTTCTATAGCTTTTTAATTCAAGGTTTTTACATTTTGAACTTTTATTCCATATAAACCTGGAAATATAAATATCAAAAATAGTTTTCAGCCAAAAATGCTGATAAGACTATTGTTGAATGAGAGTTGCATGCAAATTAGGTCCATCAAAGATGTTTTGGAGATATGGAAATATTTCATTGTCTTAGGAAAAACATGATTTGGATATTATTGTCAATAAGAGAAAGGCAGGAGGATATCTGTGGATATCCCACCTCATTATATGTTAAGAGGAGAACAAATTAATGATCTAAGTAATTTAGATCCCAAAATGCTTTTGTTCATTTCTCAGTCTTTAATATGAATGTAAGATATAGCTTACCACTCCTTTTCTGTCAGAGCCAATAACTTCAACTTCATTCCCCAATAGACAGTGATAGAGTGAATGCAATCTACATCTGAGGAAAAAGAGACATTGATCATAAAAACATTCAATCATCCCAGTTCCCTTTCATCATTTTCATCTGACAGCAGAATGGACTAGAGCGTCAAGCAATGGCTTCTAATTATACTGCAGCTTATTGACACATGATGGGAGTAATATGATGGGAAACCAAAAGAATACATCTCATGTGATGATCAGTGTTAAGATGCTGTTCAAAGGGTATGGTCAAACTGACACTCAGATCCTATTGCTGGAAGTGTTAATTTTGGCAGCATTTCTAGGAAAAATGTCAGGATGTATCAGAAGCTTTAAAAAGTTTCATGCTCTTTTATTCTGTGTTTACAAATTGGGAAAGCATGTAAAATATATCCATGATATTTAAAATAGTAAAACTTGGCAACAAACTGGATGCTCAGCAATAAGGAAATGGTTAGGGGAATTATTGAGTACTACTAAGTTGAATGATCACACAGACACTACAGTCATATGACGTTATTTATTAAAATACAAAGTGAAAATCAGCACACACAATTTTATGTAGAATAGACCTCATTTATGTAAAACACAGAGAGAAAAGACTACAAGGCCTTTCTTTGAAAGGTTCACAAAGGTTATTTATATTGGATTGTAGACCATTGTGTTTTGATATTTGATAAAATGTCTATAATGAACATGTATTGATAATCTGGAAATGATGATCATCAGGTTACTGGTATGAATATGGCGGCAGCCTAATTCTGTATCTTCTCACTCTTACTGAAAACTATAGAGAGTAAAATGGGAGACTAAAAAAGTTCTTCAAACTCCATTTTTGGTGAAAGTAGGATAAAAAGAAGACCTAGAAATTCCAAAATATGTGTGAGTATTAACAAAAGCAGTTAAGACCAGCAGAAAGTAGTGCTTCAACTTTGTTGATGTAACTCCGGGTTAAATAAAGACTTTTGTTTCATATATTACTAGGTATGTCCAATATGTTACAGCCCATATGAGGGCAATATGGCAATATCAAATAGATCCTACAAATATATTCTACAGATAACCCTGCACAAGTTCAACATAATTTATGTAAAAGGTTATTTATTATTGCATTGCTTGTAAAAAGAAAATGACTAAAAATGATCAAAGTATATATAATTAGGGAACATCTGTAGAATGTAATACTATGCAGCTGTGGAGAAGAATGAGGAGGTTCTCTAAATATTGAAATGGAAAGATCTCTAAGATATATTGTTAAATTAAAAAAAGGCAAGGTGGAAAATAGTATAGGTACCCTATCATTTGTTTAAGAGGAATGAATGATAATATATTCCATCTGCTTATTTTTGCATATTCCCTGGGAAGATACAATAATCAATGTGATCACCTCTGGCAAGGACTATACATATGTGTGAAAGGCAAAGATGGGAGTGAGACTTTATTGTTTAGATTTTTGATCCATACTAAAGAATAATCTCCATAAAATTTTACAGTAATATAATGAGAAATGGTTCTGTTTAAATTTTACAGTTTAAGACATTTTTGTTATCTGTTTTGTTAGAGTATGAGCTTATAAATATTTGTAACATGGTAAGGTTTTGTTAGCTATTAACATAATGGAGTTACTTTAATACTGCAGAAATGAATTCACAGGTCCAGCAGTTTGATAATTTTCAGTGATGTCCTGTTTTCACATTCCTAAATATAGCTGTGACAAAGATCCTCAGACCACCATCATTGAAAATGGCAGGAGTCAGCAGGGTCGGTTTTCATTTGAAGTGTTCCGATTTGTGAAACACAAGAATCAGAAAATGTCCACTGTCTTCCTGCACTGTGTTACGAAGCTCTGCAGAGCCGATGACTGCCCCTTCTTTATGCCAGTATGTTTTAAATTATGGAATTGCTGTAATATGAAGGGTTATCAAATGTTAGCAATTAATTTCTATATAGAAAGTGGGTATGAATCAGATCAAGCAACTTGAAATAAGATTGACTCATTCATCCAGTAAATATCTATTGCATATCTACTTTATGCCAGGCATTTTACTGAGGACACAGGGCTGAAGCATGAATGAATTCTGAATTAATTTAGTTTATACTTTAGGTGCATGAGATAGACAAGTAAGAAAACAAGATAAAAGATTTATGATGTGAT